AGCGATTTTTTGATTTAGTGTAAAATGAGAGAGAAATGAAAAATGACTTTTAGCCGTTTTTCATTTTCTGTTTTCGTTTTCTCCTCTCTTGAGCAGAGAGAGAAAGAAAGACATTAATGGGGTTTTTTTTTTTACATTGAAAATAATCTCTTGATAAAACTACCAAAAACATTTTCAAAAATGATTTCTGTATGAGATCGGAAACGTTTTCATTTTCATTTTCATACAAAAAACAAAATTATTTTTAAACGAGTTCTAAATGCTCCCCAAACATCTGCAAAATTTCCCTGCAAAGTGGCTAGTATTTTATTCTTACTATAAAAACTATGATGCTTCATCATTTGGCATTAAGACTTTATTTATGCGATCTGCGCAGAAACGAGAAGAACGGGAGGAAGAGCTTATAAGGAAATTAAGAAGCTGAGCTTCTAAGAGAAATTTCACTGCTTAGTAATCCAACATCTTTTAATGTGGAAAGAAGGTTGGTGTTCACTAAAAAGCCATTTGCCCATCAGTGCTGCATTTACCTACGATTGTCTTTCTTTATATTTATATATATATATATATAAAAGGAGAGGTAAGAATGCCACCATATTTAAATGGGACTCAAGATGACTCGAACCTTCAATCTATAGTTGGGTTGGAGGGACTCATAATCAACTAAGTTGTCCTCACTCATCGAGATTGTCAAAGTTTTTGAATGCTATTCCCTGCATGAGTTTGCATACACTGTCCTTTATTTAATTATTAATTCATACTGATTAGAATAGTCGTAATCAATTACTGACTATTAGTTATTTAATACATTAATTAACTATACTCACTATTTCCGAATATTGTAGTTAATTACATATATGTCCTCATCAAATATTGTAACACGCTAATTTATTGATAGTATATTACTATATTATTAATATGTATCACTAATACACTAATTCATATCTACAAATTACATATTAGTAAATGCGTCATAACGGGTCCGTACTGTCAGTCAGTCCTTATGGGTGAAAAAAGGAGGATATATTGGCTGAGGGGAAAAAATAATAATAAAAAACTTACCAGTTACCATGGTTAGTGAGGTCCGGGAGAAAAAGGCGTAGATATGTTATTTTGTAAATCCCTATTATTTTCCCAAAGAATCCATTTGGTTAAAAACTAGAAGGAAATAACATAATAAACAAGAAATTATAGCATGCATAAAGTGCCATTATTGCATATAGGCCATTCTTTAAAAATATTTCTGGTAAATAATATATATTAAAATACTCATAGTAAATAGTATAATCACAGTAAATTTACCATAAATATTCTTCATAAATGAATTATTTACTGTAGATATACTATTTACTAAAAAAATTTAAAATATATTATTATATTTACCATAAGTATTTGCAGAAAAATGCTATCTGTCCCAAAAAAATTGCAACCCCTTCACTGTAAGATGTCGTTTGTGGGGGGCCCGTAAGCAAAAATTTCTAAAACAGAAATCATTCTAAACGACATAATGGAAGAAGACTAACAAATGGCAATTGACTAAAGTTTAGTACCTAAATACCAAAGCTTTCAAAACAGAAATCTGACTGTTACAAGTGAGAAAGTTAGGGAACCCGTGGCGTAAATTTCACCCAAAAAAATTATTGAAAAATACTTAAAGACTATCACAATTAATGGAAAGCGAGTTCTACATATGAATACTACGCTGGGAGAAACATTTTTCAGTTTCTGATACTTAGCATCATCAATACTCTATAGCAATGCAGGCTCTAGACTTTTCGGCTAGACTTTAGATCGTCTTTATCCCATTTTTTTATGCTTTATTTAATATTAATTATATGTACCTATAGTTATGTATTCTTCCAATATATTATTTTAGGTTGACAAACGAACAAGAAAGACAAAACACCGAATCACTTCCACGACATTTCTAGTTAAAAAGTCACTTCCACGACTTCCACCACCGTGCGCCGAGGCCTTCTTGATGCCCGCCGGGCAGAGGTCAACACGGTTTAGACAACCCATGTCTCTCCTCTCCTCTCCCATTGTATATGAGTAGTGGGCATATATATTTAATTTTATGATGGGTTCAAAAGGAAAATGCTTTTCTATCAAAAACAAAAAAAAAAAATAATAATAATAATAATAATAATAATAATAAAGCTTTTTTTAACGGGTGCAGCGACAAAAAGACACAACTCAGAAGCATTTGACAATGATTGGTTTTATGTAGTTTAGTACTGTCATTCAACTCCTTTCACCCCCCGATAGCCATCAAAGATCCAAAGCCCCTCATTTACCATCCAAGTACCGTTGACTTTGCGAGCACAGAGGTATTTCATGGCTTCAGCTTATCATTTCTATCTCATTTTCATTTTCTGCTCCTTTGAGTACTTGTTGATGCTTTTATTACTACATTGGAAATTTAATGTGTGTGTCTGTGTGTATATATGTATGTGTATTTTCTTTACTTGTATTTAAGTTGGCCGTGAAAGTTTCTTTGGATTTCCATTCTCTTCAAGGTTTCAACTCCTTTTTTTAATAAAACCTTTTTGTTTATTGACGTAGGAAATTGGAATCCTCTAATATTGTATTAATCGGAATCCTGTTTTGGATTTCAAATGATTTTGTGTTTCATTCATACAAGTCAGATCCAGACTTGGATATTGTTTATCTAAATTATGTTGGATACTTACCTACGGTGTTCTGGGTTTTGATGCCAGTTATCAAGTGGGTGTTTCTTTCTATGAGAATAAATTTTACAAATTCTCTCTGAATTATATAATTTGTGTCAACTTGTCCCTTAAACGTCCAAACTAAGTTGTTACTAATTTGTTTATTTGTTACTAACTTGTGACTCCTAGTAATTAATTTGTTTATTTGGGAGATCTAGTATTTTGCTCAACGTCTTACTTGAGAGCCTCAGTTTGGAATAGAGTACTGTCAATGCAATTGCTAATTAACGTGATTATTCCAATTACTATATTTAGTATCAAGTTAACAAGTATAGTGAGTAGCGGTATTTTTCGATATGTTATTCTGATAACTAGATTTGTCATTAAAATAAAAAGAATTATTGTACACATCAAATACTATAGGTTCATGATCTCTCTCTTGTAGTAGCTGGATTTGGGTGGAGATATTCCTGCGTGGCGACAGTGTAAAACTACAAAGCCAAGAATCTTGCTTAATGGGGATGTAGGTATTTGAGTTTAGTTAGTTAACGAAACTTTGAAATGTTTTTTCTTAAGCTAATTTATTTAGCTTCAAACGTCTTGTATTGAGTTGATCATCATTTTGTAATCCAGCATAGATCGGTTCCAGAGTAAAGGAGTTGCTCTCGTACTAGGAGCAGTGCACGGCGTTGTTTTGGCCGTCATTACCATTTTAGTTGCGCTTGCACTGAAGCAACAAAATCCATTCAAGACACACTACTCGATCACGGTGGTCTTTCTGGTAGACGTCATTATCTATATCGCGAGTATAGTACTGAGCATCATGCTCAAGGTCGGTTTCGCCCAAGAGGTGACCATATATGCTAGCATCTTGTTAGGGTTTCTTGCTGCCCTGTTGCTGATTCTCATCATGGTTCGGGTTTTGGGGTTGGTCCTTTTGGCTTTGTTGGGAGTTACAGTTTTCTTATTAATTGCTTATATATTGCTATCATGTTGGCATCGTGAACTGCCGCAACAAAACATCGCCATTCAGGTAAAATCTGCGTATGTACATAGTACTGATTACATATGTTCTAGAGTCCTAGACACACATTTTCTTCCCTCGTGATCTTTTTTGAATGTATGGAGTCCCGTCCTCTTAGTTAGTGCTCTTGTTTCTCGCTTTCTTGTTTGTTTAAGTTGTTTAATTAGTAACATAGTTAAATGTGTGTGTGTGTGTGTATTGTATAGTGCAAACTAAGAACATATTGCTTCTCTCTCTTTAAGATGCGTATTTACGTAAGTATGAATATAGGTAGTGTTTGGTAGCTTGTATTGTATCGCACTATATAAAGTGTATTATATTGTGTTGTGTTATCATAGTATGGTGTTTGGTGTCATGACATACTGTATAAAGGGTCAAAATATAAAATTTTAAAAAATTTAGGGTCAAAAGTGTAATTTTTAAAAGTTTTAGGGTCAAAATGTAATTTTATAAAAAAATTTGGAGTCAAAATGTAATTTTATAAAACAAGGGGTCAAAATTTAATATTTTTAAAAATATATATTTCCATTATACATGTATTATATTGTGTTGTGTTATCATAATATGGTTTTTAGTGTCATAACATACTATATGAGTGATCAAAATATAAAATTTTACAAATTTAGGGTCAAAATGTAATTTTTTTTAAAGTTTTGAGGATCAAAATGTAATTTTATAAAAAATTTTAGTGTCAAAATGTAATTTTATCAAATTGAGGAGTCAAAATTTAATATTTTTTAAAAATATATTTGCATTATAGCCCTCAATTTTTAAACAATTATAAGCAGTGGCATAACGATCTATATTGGTCCAACCTTAACCTCCAGTTATGCGCGAACCCCACATGAATCATAGATTTACTATAGAATAATACACTATGATGCGCTAAAAATAAGTCATATTTAATAATATGATATGGACGGTATTAATTTACTATCTGTGACATTATATTAACATTTTTATATATAATGTGGTGCTTTAATACGGTTAAATAAACATGTCTATATTGTAAATCTATCTTGTTATTCATGAAGGACATAGCTCCATGATCAACTTCAATAAACATAGGTAGATTGACCTTAACGTCTCCTCTTTTATTTCCCCTTTTGTGTCCCCCAATAAGATCTTAAGACATCAGTTAATTTTAAAGATATTTTAATTAATGTGATATTAAACTTTAATTGATGTATCATAATATTATTAGAGAGACATGAAAAAGGCAAATAAAAAGACACAGGAGTTAAATTCTAAATATTTGTTCTTATTAATTAATACATTTAGTACTCACTTTATTATGTGTTGCCTACATGCCGTCTTTGGATGATGCACATAAGGAGGAGGAAAATGATGAGCAACCAGAAGACAATACAGGAGGGCCTGCAACAAAATGGATTACTGTTTTTAATCGGCCCTGCCACGGAACCGTGCAAAGATGTCGTTATAATGTTAGAGGCGCGAGGCTCTCCCCAAAGATTGCCAAGGGAAAAAAGGACGGGTTATTTATCAGCTGTGTTGCTTCTTGTTCCAATCTTTGGGCTCTGATCATGAATGATGCAACTGGTTTCTCAGATCAAGTATATAAGCTGTCTCCAAATTTTCTTCCCCATGAATGGATCGAGGAACAATGGAATAAGGATTTTCATATCAGCGCAATAGCCGGAGCGGATAATGGAAGTTCATTAGTTGTAATGTCTAAAGGGACCAGGTTTTTAAGGCAACATATTGTAGTGAGTGATTCATTTCCATATGAGTGGATTATTAATCAGAGGAAAAATGGATGTTATGTAACTGCCATGGCCACTTCGGAAAAAAGGTGGGCAATTGTTGCGTCTGAAGGCGCAGGCTTCTCTAAACAGGTTGTTGAAGTCCATTCGAAGTATCCAAGTGAGCATGTTCGGGGAAGGTGGGACAGTGGCTACGACATCACTGCAACGGCGGCGAATGCCGACCGGGTTGCTCTTGTTCTTAGCGTGCCAAGGACTACAATACCAACATACAATAAACAGGAGACATACAGAAGTTCTGCTTTTCCTGAAAGACATGTCCACGAGTACTGGGACAAGGATTTTTATGTTTCCTCCATTTGCTATGGCCGAACGTTTTCGCTAAGTGTATGGAGACAAGCTATGGTTTGCTGAGCTGTCATTGTAAACAGAATCTGTCACTAGTTTAATTTTTGTTACAAGTCAGTTTTGTAATATATTACAGCTCTGGTGAACTACTTGTGTAATTAAAAGTCAATTTAAATAAGCATGCTCGAATGGAAGTTAATTGAGCGATTCTCATACTTGAAGCATTCTCTAGAATATTCTCTATTTTTTGCTCACATTTTGGGCCAATTTGACATTTCTATGCTGTTGAAAATTTTTGTTGTTGTTGTGTTGCTAGTCAGAAATTACAGTAACTAGAAGCATATAGGTCTTTGGTAATTTTTTTTTTTCAAAAATATCAAAAATAAAAATATAGGTGTTTGGTAAACTATTGTAACATCTCGAAGAATTAAGCAGATTTAATTATATTAATTGTGATATATTAATGTGTTTAATATTAGTTTTTCTTAATTAATCATGTCATTAAAAAATGACAAGTAGGTAAACATGCCACTAATATATAGGCTGTAAAACCACCAAGCGTGAGTAGCGGGGATAAATCCTCATGGGAGATCTGTAGGAGTGCATGCTTTAAAACCATACTAAGATTCTAATGTATTAATAACTCAATCACACCATTAATCATTCAATCACATCAATTCAACTAAATAAAAGAAAATCTACATGAAAAAGTTTTTAATTTGTTGATGCGAGTTGAGATGTGATTTTATACGAGAGCTTTTTACTGTAGCTGTTTCTGAGAGCTTTTTACTGTAACAAAACTCAAATTCTAAATTCAAATCGGTGAAAAGAACGGGACCTAAATCTCGATTGGTTCATATTTGCAAATGTCTTTGCGGTTTTGTAATTGGTTAGCATTGCTTAAATCTAGATTTGGGAATTATTGACGATGGTCTAAGCTTTGGTTTGCTATGTTTTGGGTCTTGGCTAATAAATTATGAAATTTTTGTTAATGACTCCTATTAATTAATTTGTTCTATTTGGGAGATCTAGTAATATGCTTGACGTCTTATTTAAGAGCCTCAGTTTGGAATAGATTACTGTCAATGCAATTACTAATTAATGTGATTATTCCAACTAAATTTAATATGCATGGACGTTAATGACTATGCTGAGTATCGTCATTTTTCAATATGCTATTATCATAACTAGAATTTTGATTATCCTATAAACAATTATTCTACATATCAAGCTACTATAGGTTCATGATATATCTCTATCTTTCTCGTGTTACAGCTGTGAGACTTGGGTCGTGATATTCCTGTGTGGCGACAATTGCTCCTCAATTATACACATACTGAAAACTACAAAACAAAACAATCTCGGCTAGTGGCAATGTTGGTATTAGAGTTTAATTATTTTGTTAAGAAAACTTTGAAATGCTTTTTTTTTTTTTTGAAGTTAATTTACTTAACTTCTAACGCTCTTGTATTCAATTGAGAATCATTTTGTAATCATAGACCGTATGTTCCGGAGCAAAGGACGTTGGTCTTGTACTACTAGCATTGCACGGCGTTGTCTTGGCCGTAATTGCTGCTTTAGTTGAAATGCTTTACATGTTGTAGAGTCGCAGACATGTTCTTCCCCCATGATCACTTTTGAATGTATGGAATTCCGTCCTCTTTGTTTGTGAGCTTGTTTTTGGCTTTCTTAATTCTTGTTTGTGTTGTTTAATATTGGTTCCCATTAATTAATATATACCAAACCGTATAGGAATGTAATGAGAAAGATAATGAGATTATAAAGAAAAGTAAAATAATAGGATTAAAAATCATTAATTCCCTTTCAAATGTTTACTTGACTATTAGATGGTATAATGAAAAGCTATCTCATTTCCTTTCTAATGTTAACTAAAATCAAGAATAGCAATATTATCAATATAATAAATAAAAAATCTTTTTATATAATTAAATAATTATAATTGACTATATAGTAATGCATTAAGGATAAATAAGTAAATTAGGCATTCATTTCCTTTGACAAGGAATTAAGGGCGTGTTTACCAAACCGTAAAGGAATGTAATGGGAAAGATAATAGGATTAGAAAGGAAAGTAAAGTAATGGGATTAAGGGTAATTCATTTTCTTTCATGTGTTTACTTGACTATTAGATGGTATAATGGGAAACAACCATATTCTCTTTCTTATGTTTACTAAACTTAGAAATAGTAATGTTATTAATGCAATCACTAAAATATCTTTTTATACAATTAAATAATTATTGATTGTATATAGTACTTCATTAAGAGTAGATAAGATTAATTTAGAATCCATTCTCTTTGACGAGAAATTAATACTAAGGGGGTCCAAGGATTGGTGTCCCTTTCCTCATTCCCTATATTATGTGAGGTCTACTAAATCTCCATTGCTAATTTTGTAAGTAAACATATTATTAGATGCGAAAGGGAATCACTCCCTTGATATTATGACACATAACTTTCCCTTGATATATATTTTATGACACATAACTTTCCCTTGATATTTTATTTCAAAAAGGAAACTCGTTCATAAATTCATTGACGACTTCACAAATGGTTCTTACGAAATAGACAATGAAGCCATAATATTCAACAAAAAGAAACTTTAGGCCCCGTTTCTTTCGTTAGGTTCAAATCATAACTCAAGTTTTTACAACAATGCTTTCTTTTGGTTATTATATTTTTTTCTCTCACATAAAATTCACTTTTTAACTCAAGTTGAAAGCTCAAATCAGTGAAACGTACATGGTTTAAGTATTGGGTATCCTAGAGGATTATTAAGTATATAATGTGTCAAGGTAGCAGACAAGAATAGTCTGCGCTTGGTTGGTGACGGTTCCAATATGCCCGGAGGTGTTGTGAATCTCCACTTACTTGGATGCGGGATTGGCTAGGCTCGAAGAAGATTGAGAGACTACGTCTCCAAGACCTCCTTTGTTACCCTTATTAACAATGATTTGTGGCTTCGGCATTCACGGTTAAGACTTAATTTATTTATCTACATGACCGAATAGGAGGAAGATCGTAAAGCCAAAAGCAGTTAAGGTTCTAAGACGAAATTCACTGCTTGACAATCCAACATCTTTAATTTTTGTGAAAAGAAGGTTAGAGTTTGTAAAAACAACATTTGCCAATCAGTTTCTGTACCAATCATTTTATTTGTCCTCTTAATCGTTTTTGCGTCTGTCCTGATTCAGTTATTTTGCTTTTGTGGGTGCTCCTCTTTTGGCTCATGATGTGGTATTAAAAAACCAGCGTCTGTCCTGATTCAGTTATTTTGCTTTGGTGGGTGCTCCGCTTTTGGCTCATGATGTGGTGTTAAAAAACCAGGCTTGTGATGAAACCAAGACTCCAAAGCGCTTTTTAAATGATACTATCAGGAATGATTTAATTTCCATAGGAATTTCCTGGAGATATTTTTAAGTTGTAGATTAGCCTAATTAATTAATTTCCCTAATGATTTATTGCTCCATGCAGAGGATTTTGCAAATTAACTTTGGGTACTTTGAGAATTTCACACTTACAAAATTCAATTGCTCCAGTTTTCATTATAAAGGTGGGCGCCGTTTTTGCAATATTATTAGAGATGTAGAGAAAAAAGCAGAGTTGAGAGGCATGCGATTTTCTCATGTAACTTCTTCTTTATCATACTGTAAAAACCGCAGGAGCTGAAAGTGAATGTAGTCTCACATTAAGGCAGGCGAAACTCTATAAATTTTATTTGTCAATTTTACTTATTTTATTTTTTGCGTTTTATTACTTGTAAAATTAGGGTGTTAAGAAATTAAAGTAGATCAATGGAAGTGAAATGGTTCTCATTTCTTATCTGGTCTGTGTAGCTAAATTAGAAATTGACCAAGCTGGACCTGAACTGTGATTGTACCGGACACAAATTGTATTGCCAAAGATTAAGTTCGATCTCAAATGGTATTGCCAAATATTGTCCTTTTATTATAAGTTGATTGATGATAAATTGGATTGGTTTCCTTGCACTTTCTTGTAAACAATTTGAAGATTTAACTTGGAACAGTTTTCCGTACATGTACTAATTAATCATTAACCTTGTGTCCACTTTCAATCACGTTAAAAAAGAAAATTACAAGAATGGCCAACCATTGTTTTCCATCATCCTATTATTTATGCCATAGAAGAATATTTTGGTAAATGATAAATTTAAATTGGATAGCAGAAATAAAATAGTGCTATCTTTTTTTTATAGCATTCTTAAAAGTTTCTCAAGTTAAAAAATGCATAATTTTTTTTCTTTGTTATTTAACAGAACTAGGGAGATTCACTAACAATCTGCCTTAAACAAGCCATTTACTTTAAGCTCTTTGCCATCTAGCAGTGAGTAATTAATTAAAGATGATACCCACGATCAATGTTGAGCTGGCTCTGCGTGTAAAGCATTACTGCCACTGCTTTTTGGTTCTTAGCGCGCCATGGATATAAGAACCTGATAAAGATGATACCCAAGAGACAGTTTCGTAAATTTTGCAAAGAAAAGTTGATGATCATGATGATAAACATAGATCCATGTTGCATCAATATATAATATTTATTTTTCTAGGGCCAAGTGGTTTGATGATGCCAAACTTTTTCCTCAAAATCTGCTAACAATATCTTAATAAATTGCATAATATTATGGCACGCGAGCCTGCTTTTTAGTACTCGTCATTTACTGGCGCAGCTTGGGAAGAAAACTAAAAGATTCTCTCATGAGCCATGGTTAATATATACATTTACCTCTGCAAACCTAGCAATGGCCGAATAATTAATCAGTTAATGGGCAGAAGATTTTGCCGCCCAGCTCAGATCTCCACATTTCACATTATAATAAGTCATTCATGAGCTGGTCCTTGCGTGTAAAAGCATAACAATGAGATGGATTAACGTCCGAATTATAAGAAAATAATAATAATAATAATAATAATAATAATAATAAGAACAAAAACCACGTCTATGTGAAAGCTCCTACAATCATGAACCATTATATATATAAGCAGGAGAATGAATCTAGAATACTAGTTTCTCCGAGCTGGGAAATTAA